GCGTGGCCTGGAAGGGGGAGCGCCTCCGCGCTTCCCAGCGGCGAAGGGGCGGGGACAGCTCCGTGTGGCCACGCCCCCTCTCCCTATTATAGCCCCGCCCCTTCGCCGGTAGCCCCGCCCCCTCCCCCTGCCCGACGGGGAGGGTCCTGAGCCGTCCGCCCCGTCCCTCCGTAGGTGATGGGTGACGGTGATGGCGCCGCCGGCCCCAGCGACCTCCTCCTCCTCCTCCTGACGGCCCGCCCGCCCCTGCCCGCCCCGGGGGATGGAGCTGCCCGCGCAGAGCCCGCCGAGACAGGTGAGGGGCTGCGCCAGGCCGGGGGGTCTATGGCATCCTGAGAGGGCTGGGTGGCTGCAGGGCACAGGGTGGGTGACAGATGAGTGATTAATGTGTAATTAGCATGCAACGTGTATGGCAGTGTCGCCCAGTGGGACAGGTCCTGTGCCAGGAGGAGCTAGGGGCTCCCCGGGTGCCCACCAGTGCTGGAAGGGCTGGGGTGGCCGTCCTGCTGTCCCTTCTGGGCACCAGGGCAGAGCTGGGGTGGCCGTGGGCAGGGGCTGCCCTCGCATTGTCCCACCCCAAGGGTCCTTTGCCCCTGCAGGCAGCAGCTCCCTGGGGGGCCTGGCCCGCTCCCTGCAGAAGGCGGAGGCCATGCTGCGCAGCTGCGTCAGCCCTGGCCTGCGACGCCTGCTGCCCCCACGGCCCCGCGAGCGCAGCTACAACAGCAGCGAGGATGAGGAGGAGGAGGAAGAGGAGGAAACACCAGCTCTCCTGGCCCTGCTGGAGCAGAGCTTCCCAGGGCTGCACCGTTGCCTCTACGTCTGGGAGGACCCCCGCACCGAGACCTTCCGGGGCCATGTGCGTCCCCAGCCCGGTGACAGTGCCGCCGCCACTGCCTTCTCCTACCACCCCGTCCACCCGCGTGTGGCCGAGCGCGGCGCTGCCCTGCACGCCCTGCTGCAGCACCGCCACCACCTCCGCCTCGCCCGTGACTACAGTCGCCGGCTGAAGGCTGCCTCCGACTTCCTCCGCCGGCTCCTGGCACTGGTGGAGCAGCCAGAGCAGCCGACGGGGGAGCTGGGAGCCACCGGGCCGCTGCGGGGGCTCTGCCAGGAGCTGCGGACACACGCCGGCCACTGGAGTGGGCTGCGGCGGCGGATGCGCAGTGACCCGTGGCTGCGGCCGCTGCTGCTGCGCAGGCACGAGTCGGTGGCACACATGCGGCGGGCGCTGCTGCTGCTGGCGCTGCATGCCACCCGGCTAGCCGAGCGCCATGTCGAGGCACGGCTGCGAGGGCTGGCACGGGCCGGCCCTGCTGCCTCCCCGTCTCCGGCGCTGCTCTCTGACCTCTTTCAGGGCCTGGAGATCTACAACAAGGTGGTGGGCAACCTGGCCCTGGAGCTGGGCATCACCAGCCGCCTGCCCACCGGCATCCCTGGCTGCCCCGGGGCCACCGGGGACTGCTCCCATGCCTTCCCTGTGGCCAGAGTGCTGGAGATACTGGCAGCTGAGCGGGGCCGTGTGGCGGCTGAGCGGCTCGAGCCTCTCCTGGTGCCACGGGATGGGGATGGTGGGGCAGAACACGTCTGCTGGGAGGACGCCACAGTGCCTTGGCTCCCGGAGCGTGGCACCACAGCGGCGGATGCAGGACCCTCAGGACAGGAGGAGCTGCCGGGCCTCGCCGTGGAGCTGCAGGCGCTGTGCAGGGAGGACCAGGAGCTGATGGGCCTCGTCCTGGGGACGCTGGTGGCCTCCGCCGACAGCCTCTGGCACCACATCCTGCACGGGCCCAAGCAGGAGAAGCCGCTGGCTGCGGAGAGCCCCCAGTCCCTGGAGCCACCAGCAGGCAGCCTGGGCACGGCCACCAGGCCAAGCTCTGCCGGCTGGAAGTCGGTGCGGTGGCTGGACGCCTCCCGCGCACCGGCGGCCGAGGCCCTGCACGCCCAGTACCGCCCGCTCTTCTGGGGGGCCACCAGCACTGCGCTGGGGCACCGCCTGGGGCTGCCCCACTGCAGGGCTGGTGGGGCCATGGCGACTGCCCGGGAGTTGGGCTGTGCTCTTGCCCAGGGTAGGTTGGGGGGCTGGGGTGAGAGGGTGGCGGTACCGGGGAGAGGCTCCCTGGCATCCCCCCGCTGCTGCCTCAGGATGTGCCGGCCCTCACGCCCTGTCCCCCCTCCACAGGCCGCATCCCCCGGGAGTGCGAGGAGGAGCTGGGGCGGCTCTGCCTGCGCCTGCTCTGCTGGGGTGTCCTCCGGAGCTGGGAGCAAGGTATGGGGCGTGGGGTACGGGGTGCTGGCAGGAGGGTGTCACGGGGCTCTGACTGATGTGTCCCCCCACCCCGCAGACTTTGCTCGTGCTCTGGGCTCGGGTCTGTCTGACAAGTGCTCCGGGGAGCTGGTGCCGGCGGCAGGGCCGGTGCGGAGCAGGACGGCACGATGCCTGCAGCGGCTCTACCCAGCCCTGGCCTTCGCCCTGCGCTGCCTGCGGCCCCTGCCCACCTGCCTGCCCGGTGAGTGGGGGTCTCGGGGGAGAGGAACCGGCACCCTGGGGGTCCCCTCTGGGCTGACCCCCGCCTGCTGGGTGCTGCTCCCCTCCCTGGTCCCGGTGACACCTCTCATTCCCCTGCCTCCCCCAGGCCGCCCCCCCGGCTCTCCCTGCCTGCGCCTACAGGTGCTGGGCTGCTGCCTGGCCACGGCACAGGCTGCCTGCTCCTGGCTGATGGGCAGAGCCTTCCGCTACCTGGCGGCATGGGCCCTGCCCCAGTTCCTGCTCGTCACCCAGGGGGACCTGCAGGTACGAAGTGGGCAGGGGATGGGAACCGATCTGTGGGTCTGGACCCTGCCCCAGGGGGTCAGTCCCCTTCCCGCAGAGGCTGGGCTGTGGGGCTAGCTGTGGGGCTGGCCACTGGGCAGGTTTCCTCTCACCCCTCTTCCCTCCAGCTGCTGAAGATGGAGACAGACAGGCTGGTGGTGCTGGTGAGCGAGACCTTCCCAGAGCCCGGGGATGTCCCCCCGCAGCTGCCCCCTGCCCCGCTGTGCCACCAGGAGCACCACCTGTGCCAGCAGATTCGCTCCATGGCTGCCAGCATCCAGGTATGGCCCGACCGTGGCAGGCAGACCTCTGGGAGCCAGCTGGAGCTGTGCCATGCTGTGCTGTGCTGGGAGAGACCCCAGTGGTTCTGCTCCAGCTGGGAACAGACTGGGGAGCTGCAAGGTGTTGTGGCCCCCCTGTGCCACCCCCAACTCCCCCTGCTCTGCCCCCCAGCTCTTCTCGGGGGATGTCCTGAAGATGTTCTCCACCGACTGCAAGCGGATGTCGGCGGAGATCTTTGACCAGACCATGCCACTGGGCAAGCACTGGAGGGTCGGCCTCCGCGCGGGTGGGTAGGGGTGCCTCGGTGCTGGGCTGGCCTGCGGGCAGGGCCACGGGCAGGGCTGACCAAGTGTCCCCCCCTTCTCCACAGACCTGCCCAGTTCTCCCAGTGAGTACGCGGCAGCAGCAGCCCAGGCGGTGCTGGGCCAGGTGCTGCAGGGCGCCCAGCTCCTGCCCCGGGATGCCCAAGCGCCTGCCCTGGCCCGGGTGACCACGGCCTTCTTGGAGGCTTGGATGGACCACATCCTGGCCCAGAGGATCAAGTTCAGGTAGCGGGGGGATGGCTTTGGGGCTGGGCTAGTGCAGGCAGTGCCAGGGTAGCCGGGCTGAGTGCCACCGGTGCCTCCCCCCAGCCTGCAGGGAGCCTTGCAGCTGCGGCAGGACTTCGAGCTGGTGCGGGAGCTGGTGGGATCCGAGCGCTATGGGCTGGCCCCCGAGACCCGGCAGTCCCTGCTGTCCCTCCGCGTCTTCCAGCAGATGGACGGAGCCATCCTCTGCCTCCTGCAGCAGCCCGGCGGGGCGGCCAGCGTGCCCCCCCGCCCCTGGCACTCCCTGCGTCGCTGCTGTGAGTCACTGGGCCGGGGGGGGATGACAGGGGTGGCCACTCTTGGCTGTCCCATGGGCTCTGACCATCTCAGAACCCTGGCAGATGGCAGCGCTGGTGTTGGGGGACCACAGGGTGGGGGCAAGAGCCACCTCTCGGGGTGGCCCCTGCCAGCGTGAGGGTCCGGGATCCCCAGCGTGGACCCTGACTCCTGTCTCCTCTCCCTTGGCCAGGCTCAGACAACGGTGCCCACCCCCAGGAGCCGGCAGCGGGCAGCCTGCACGGCCTGGAGACCTTGGAGGTACCGGGGGCAGCAGCGGGGACCCCCCCGGCCACCCCCGAGTCCGAGGTGCCGGGACGACTGCGAAGCGGAGTCCCCGAGTCCTACCTCTCAGGCAGCCAGCAGCAATGGCTGTCGCTGCGGCTGCACCGTGCCCGCCGCTGGCGTGTGCCCGGCTTGCCCTGTGTCGGTAACACCCCCGAGACCTGACCGGCAATAAAAGCGGTTGGAGCCCGGTGTCCCCGTGTCTGTTTCCATCCCTGTGTCTGTCTGTTGTCTGTCCGTCTGTCCATCCCTCCCACATTCCTTCCTGTTGCTGCCTGCACCCACTCCTGCCCGCAGCACACCCGGTTCCCGGTGGGGTGGCCTCTGCCCGGCCCCCGACCCCCCCCTGCCCGGGCCACCGGGGGTCGGCAGCGGCCCCATCGGGCCCCTTCGACGGCGCGGCGGTCGAGGGAGTCTTCTTTGGTCTCTCTTATTTTGTCACATTTTTTTCCTGAGCTACCTGTGTGGTCGAGGGAGTCGACCGACGGCGCGGCGGTCGAGGGAGTTATCTCGGGGGCTACCGGAGTCCCCGGTGTGACTACGGCTCCCATGATGCCGCCGCCCCCGATCACTTCCGCTGCGGGGCGGGGTCGGGCCGAGCCGAGCGCCCCCTTCCCGGTCCCGGTCCCGGTGCGGCCCCGGTGCCGCCCGCCATGGCCCTCCCCGCCACCGCCGAGCTGGGCGCCGCCGACCGCGCCCCCTTCGTC